CTCCGCGCCGGCTTTGTTCCGGCCTTCGGGCCGGGTGTCCTCCGCCAGGGCCTGTGTCGCCGGCCCTTCCTCCGGCCACCCGGCCAGGTAAATGCGCTTCCGCGAGCGGCCTGATCGCGTCCCCATGACAACTTTGCGGCCCTGTCCCTTGCTGGCTGTGGTGTTGCAGTTCCCTTTCTACAGGAAACAGGCTGCCGTTAAATAAGACAGATGCTTAAAGGGAAAGTTTTTTTAAAGAGACAAAAGTCAGAATTACCCCCATATCGTTACAAGGTCAGGATTATAAGCATCACTCAAGATTTCTTTCAATACACGGCCACATTTTATGAGGGGAGCAGAGGCGAACTTTATCCAACTGTACAAGTCAGGTCAATTTAGGATAACTTTTTAGGGAAAAAAATTTTTTTTTAAATATTTTGGTTAGCACCTCCTTTGCCGGTCTATCCATGTGAATGTGGGGGTCTCTTTGAACCCTCTAGTGTGCTAGGATCTGTGCTAGACACTGGATATTTGGATGAGTAAAATAAAAACCTTGCAGGGACAAGGTCCTCATTCTCTTGTGAAAAATACCACTCTTCTGTGGAATGCATTTTATGAGGAAAGGAAAAATGTGGGACCTCGGAAGGAGCACTCTCTTAGGGATTGAGGATGACAAGTAGCAAGGGAGAGGTGGTAATAAATCTGGATGCTTTTTTCATGTTGACAAAACTGTAACACTTGTAAATAAACATGGCTTTTGTCCAGCTCATAATGCATATTGCTCTAGAAATACCACAAAGTGAAAACTGACAGTGGCTAAAACAGCACACAAGATTGTTACTGACCAAAACGAGTGGTACAAAATCTTTGATGAAATTTAGATCTGCAACATTTGACAAAGGAGAATTAAATATGATAGAAACAATAGCAACCAAGGGCAATTCAGAAGGCAGAAGCTATTAATTAATAAAAATATGACATGGAAAACAGTTTAAATGAATGCCAATTTTGCCTCAATATTCAGTAAAAACAATATAAATAGAAGAAAATAGCAATTTAAATGAGTAATGAAACTAATCAAGGAATAACACTTGGTTAATGGAGTTTTCATTCTCTACCCCAATTAGTCAATATCAGCATATTTGTCTAAATTCTTTTATGAGAACATCTCTAGAATCAACAAGAGCATCAGAAGGCCCCAGAGCAATCTAGGGCAGAGGTCCTCAAACTTTTTAAACAGGGGGCCAGTTCACTGTCCCTCAGACATTCCACACATGCGCACTGCGGGGCCCCTGATGAGTGGGCTGCTAAGCAGGACAGGCAGCAGCGGCAAAAGCACCCGGCGGACGGATAAATGTTTTCGGAGAAATGTTTTCGTCGGGCCGCATTATGGCCCGCAGGCCGTTGTTTGAGGACCCCTGACCTAGGGCTTCAGAAGGAGGTAAATTTGAAAAGTTACCTGCAACAGTCATAATCTGACATAACTGAAGCATAGAAGAAAAAGCACACATACGTTTTAGTATGAAAGGAACCTGGGTTTGAATCAGTGGTTTCCTCTTACTAGATTTCAGGTTTCCCTTAAACAGGCTGTTTGGCCTTTCCAAGTCCCTACTCCTCTGTAAAACAAGGAAATAACCACCTCCTAGTCCAGTGATGGCGAACCTTTTGAGCTCGGCGTGTCAGCATTTTGAAAAACCCTAACTTAACTCTGGTGCCGTGTCACATATAGAAATTTTTTGATATTTGCAACCATAGTAAAACAAAGACATATTTTTGATATTTATTTTATATATTTAAATACCATTTAACAAAGAAAAGTCAACCAAAAAAATGAGTTTGCGTGTCACCTCTGACACGCGTGCCATAGGTTCGCCATCACTGTCCTAGTCATATTATCTCATTAATCCTTAAAGCTTCTAGCATAGGACCTGACAGAGAACATGGTAGATGATAAATTATGTCACTTAAACTACAAGGTTTTTCCACTTTAACCTCTTGATATGGTGAGGTAGAAAGCCATATACTTCTGTGCCTCCCTAAAATGTTTTTACTTAACAAATTATTCCCTTTCCTTGATGCCTCAGAATCATCATAATGACCAGCTATGACATTATGCTGTCGCAACACTGGAGCTATGAGGCAAAGAGCCGCATGGCGCTGGTGCTTGAACATAATCGAGGCCTGTGGTCTCCTCTCTTACAGTGTCTTTTCATTACTGGGACTCAGAAGCCATAATCAAGTTTGGAAGAATTATATAGAAATGTATGAATAAGCTCAAGAGGGCCTCTCCTCTTATGTTTTACGATATTGACTTAATGTCTTCGCTTTTTACTGATCATTTATTTTCACTTTCATGGTACAGTTAAGATTATTTTTGCTGGCTTCGTAAACCTATAAGTGCAGTTACTTTTTCGTAAAAATCTCTCTTTGGTATAAAACAATGTCATTACCATTTAATCCTGCGGCAATATATTATGCAACTTTTAAAAATGTATCCCTAGATTGAGGGGGGATGGGGAGGTAAGAAATCAACCAAAGGAAAAAGGAGACAAATGTAATACTTTAAACAATAAAAAAAAAATATGTATCCCTAGACATATTAAAATGTTTTCAGATGAAACAGTATGTCTTACATTTGCTTCAAAATAATCTAAGGGCAAAGGTATTGGAAAGGGTTAGTGAATGGGATAAAAATGAAACAAGATTTACCTTGTGCTGTTGATAATTGCCTAAGTTGGGTGGGTGATGGATGGGTACTGGAGGTGAGGAGTGAGGGATGAGGGGATGGGAGGAGGAATAATTACACTATTCTACTTTTTGATTTGGAAATTCCAAACTTATACACAAGTTTAAAAACACACACATACACACAAAAACCTATGTCTCAAAAGGAACTGGGTGCTGGTTTGGGTTCTAATTTGCTATGTGACTTAGGTATTTACTTAAATTTCATTAAACCCTGTATTTTCTCATCTGTCACATGAGGGCTTGATGATTGTCAACATTGAGTTATTTCTAAGAAATTGGACAACATGCATGGTATTATGCATGTTTTTAATCATCTACTTTTAAATAAAGACCTAATTGATGGTATTCTCTTAAATTTTAATTTGTTTTTCATGAGTATGGCTCATACTTAGAATTTTCTAAATTTCAGCAACCTGCTCTAATATTTCTTCTAGGACTCTTATTTCTTAATAAGAAATATTTTTATTATTTAAATTATTTAAATATTATTTCACTTTACTTACTTTAACACTAAGCAAATTCATTATACCTACTTATATATTAAGACAAAGCAGATTGCTTTCTGGAAACTCAATAATTAAAAATGCTGCTTATAATATTGTATTTATGACCATATGGATAGCATAATTTACCACATATTTTATATATCTACCTACTATTCCATATTTAAATGAATGCAGTGAAAGTGTTCAGTAACTTGAATTTTGAAGGAAAAAACTTTTAGCTAGGATTTTTTTTTACCAAGTTATGATTTAATATTTATCAATGTGTAAATATACAAACATGACAGCAATTTTAAAAACTTGTGAATAGTTGGCCTTACAAAATTACAACACACTGTAAATAAATCCCTCCCACATTTTACACAAATTACATGATTTTGATATACAAAGATTCTGTTTTTATTACACGGACAATGTACAACCAAGACTATTTACAATGCAAAAAAGTATATAAACCACAATTTAACATTCTGCTACTGGCAGCCACTATAGTTTAGGAGGTAGCTTTAATTAAACGAAATGAACAGAAGCCACATTTCCCAACTTGTGTTCTAAAAATAATTTACATAAGATAAAAATTCATTATATGCACAGTATATACAGTTTAATTATTAAACTGCAATCTAGCTTAATGTTTTTAGTATATCCGGTAAAACTAATATGGCAGTGGGTTCGCTATTGATTTAGCATATTGTTCAAAAAACATATTGAACATTTATAACTTTATGACCCCACATCGTGACATATCAAAAGTCTATAGATGAGAATCAAGTAAAATTTTTCATTTTTAAAGACATGGCCCTAAGCTTTATTCATTTTTATCCCTTCTTCTTTTTTAATGACATGTGTCCTGTTTTACAAAAACACAGTATTTAAGCTGTGAACTGTTGTTTCACAGGCTTTTTGTAAATTACTGTAGGGGGAAATGTATGGAAACAGCATAAGTTCAGGAGAATCCAGCTAAGAAATCAATGTAAGTGCTTTGTATCATAATTACTCCCAATTTCTTCCAATTAAATGCAATTACTTACCAGTTTTCTTTCTGTATAATTCAAAATATAAGTAGGTAACATACCAACAAAACTGGAAAACATCAGTAAAGCCAATGATATTAGGAAGTGTTCATTAATGGGAACATTACACAGAGCCATCAAATCCCTCAGGTACTATTAAACTCCGAAGTTAAGTTAGTAGTTTAGCCAAATCTACTAAACCCACACAGCAATTAGCCCTTTTACTTTTCCTAGTAGTGTGATGACAAAACACTCAGGGGAAAAAAAGGACTGATCGCGCCAAAGCAATGTAAAATGACTAAAAACAAATGTTCATGCTGTTCTTTTAAAATCTAATAGTTGTTAATATTGTTTGAAAACATCTTCAGGTTTTAAGGTTTACAAATCATTCCAAGAAAATGTATGATTCTATTATGTCAAAGATGGAAACAGAAAACGCCACCACCTAAGGCCTACATTCACTCTCACAGTCCTACCTGGGAGACGATCCCCTTTTTGGCCCTGAAGTCCGTTGTCCTGAGATTAATGATCAGACATTAGGTAAAATTAGCAAGACTTTCTTCAGTTGTGTGAAACCACATTTTAAAAATATTCTTTAAAATATATTAACAGCTGTTCTTTATCTTGTGCTTCATTCAGAAACAGGTTAATGTTTTGTTTTGTTTTTTGCTGCTTAGGCAAATTTCAGATAAACCTAACGTTAGAATGCTAGGATATACATAAAACCTTTCCAAGTTACAGAGTTGTCCCAAATAGACCACACCGCGCTCGGACACTGGATTTTTCACCCATGGATCGTCCAGGCACTTGTTCTCTGAAAATGTCTGCCACCTTCTCCCTCTTCTCTCCGTGACACCAGGCAGTGGTCACAGAAGTGCTTCCCGGATGAAAGACCAGACGAGGGTCCAACTCTATGAACACGGGGATTGTGGCTGATGGGGGACGCAGTCACAGACACCCCGATTCAGTCTCTCACTCTGGGCAGGTTGTAAGCATAGCGCACCAAGGGGAATCCTCGACTCTGGTAGAAGCAGGCTCGTCCGCAGGCCTGCACCTGGTCAGAGCTGTCGGAGACAAAGGAATCTTCCTCATCCGCGTAGTCGGAATGGGCCGACTGCGTGCCACAGTCCGACCAGTAGCCGTCCGGCCTGGGGCACGAGCCCACGGCCAGGGCGGGGCAGCTGTGCGACTTGATCAAGTGTTTGCACGACACCGGCTTTGTCAAGAGGAAGGACTCGCAGCAGTCGCACACGGCCAGGTTGCCCGGCAGATGCGAGTACACGCCGCAGTCGTAGTAGAAATCCTGCTCCACGCTGTCGCTTCAGCACCTTCCAGTCTTCTTTGAACTTGGGGTTGAAGAACACATACAGGACCGGGTTCAGGCAAGCGGGCAGCGGGAAGAAGATCAGCGTGACCGACTTCATGATCTCGGGGCTGACCGAGACGGCGGTGATGAGCGGCGCGAAGGAGAAGAAGGCCACGGGGCAGAAGAAGATGCAGTTGGTGAAGATGAGCCACGCCACGTGCTTGATCGCGCCGGCCTGCGAGCCCTCGGAGAGGTCCTCCTTTTCCAAGTTGCAGTAGAGTTTGGTGTAGATGACGGCCATCAGCAAGAACGCCAGGGAGTTTAGCAGCACCAAGGCCACCGTAAAGCCCAAGGCGGGCGCCTCTCCCGTGGGGAACGGCAAGCAGAGCGGGGAGGCCGAGTACTCCCCGCCGTGGAAGAGGGGGAAGCAGCCCGCCACGGCGGCCCCCGCGCACGCCAGCAGGGCAGCCACGCGGAACTGCTTGAGGTGATGGCTCTTCCCGTTTTTCGTGATCTCTTTGGCAGACAGGCTCCTTTCGACAGCGGCCAACGTTAACAGGAAGATGGCGCTTTCCGAGGAGAAAACGGCAAGAAACCCAGCTATCTTGCAGCCACTGCCGATCTCCCACCAAATGCCAAATTCGGAGAATCTGCCCCAGGACACAGCATCCAGAAACGTTAAGATGCCAGTATAGGCCCCCATGAGTAAGTTGGCCACAGCAATCAGGCCTATGAACAATTTGGAGGAGGGTAGGGATGTACAGGGTGCGAATGTTGTTAAAATGACAAGCAGGTTGAAAAACAATGCAACCAAGAAAATGAACCACACGGTAAGACGGATCATCCAGCTTCCCAGTAAATATTCGCAGGGCTTAAAAGCACCTAAAATGAAAAACAAAGAGAGGGTGGGGGAAAAAAACACAATTTAGGGAACAGCATGTTCCATATGATATGGCTTAAGACTCTAAAGATAGTTAATTCTACAATAATTAAATCTGCTACCAAACTGAATTGAACCAAATTGATAAGATCACTATTTCAGATATTTTTTTAGTCACTGCACTGGACTATTTTAAAATAACTACTTTTATTCTACACTCTCAGTGACATAGGCTGCTACAGTCAGCACAATTCCAGGGTCCCTAACTGAGGGTTCAGAAAGAGAAATAAGGGAAGTTTCATTTCCTAGTTTCCCTCCTTTATTTTCTGAGGTCCTGAGCACAGGGTAAGGGTGGGGATATGTTAGTGATTTCTTTCTCCAGTTTCAGGATTTAGGCTGAAATTAGTTTAAGATCTGATTTGGGGAAAAGTTAGGATACAGGGAAAAAGATTTGCCTGATCTGATCTCCAAGGATTTATTCAACTCATCTACTCATTAATAACTGATTGCAAAGGCCTTGGGGATAATAGTCCACTAATAAACATTGCTTTTCAAAAACAAAACAAAAAACCCTACTTTTTATTAAATATTTGTTAAATTCATATAGTGATATCTAAAAGAAAAACCGCACTTTTTCTTACGCCTAAGTTAATGCATAGCACAGTGTCTAGCATATGCAAGGTACCTGATATAAGAGTTTGGAATTGGATAAACTAGGGTTTGAATTTAGGGTCCATAACTTGCTACTCTTTTTCTTGAGGAAGCAACTTAAATCTGTAAATTTCATTTTCTCACTTGTGGATAATAATGTCCATTTCATAAAGCTGTGGAACTTAGTATTACATACATAGGTACCTAAACGGGCTACTGGTATAGAGTTCTACTTCAGTAATAGTAGGTTCTTTTCTTCTTTCTTCCTAGTTCTAGTATACTTAATAATAATCATATATGTATACATATATTTTTATACAGTTTTTATGGCTTTCAAAGGCAATCTGATGAGGTAGATTAACATGGGTGTAATTATCCCCATTTTTCATCCAAAGAAACTGAGATTTCATAGTGTTCAATTGACCTGCACAAAGGTTTTTCAGTTAAGATAGTGCAGGGAGGACTAAACAACGCTGATGTTAAGTATTCATACAAAGCTATGTCCAATAAAATCTGTGTAACTTAAAGTAGGACTGCAAGAACTAATTTAGTAGCTAAATGGTATGTTCCAGTAACTGACTTTGACATGCTGGTTATGCCACAAATGACAACTGTTTTATTTAAAAATCAGTAAAGAAAAACAAAGTTTTGTCTACAAAGCATAAGAAAACGATGTACTACAATTGCCTAAAAGACATGTTCTGACTTATCTTCCTGAACTGTCATGAAGTTTAAAACATGCTATAAAGCATTTTAATCACTAAGATATTCACAAACCTAACCAACCAGGTCTACACCATTTAATTCTGACTTCCAAATAGCGCAAGAAACGTTTAAAACTTGTTTCTAATGAATTAATTTTTAAAGTGTCCCCCTCGGGGAGGTGTTAACAGGAAGCTTTCCCTTTTATCTGTGTATCTGAAGCCATCCTTCTTCAGGGAGGAGTGGCTCTGACCTGGGAGAATGGGCTCGCTTTGAGAAGTGTTTGACTAGTGGGTGGAGTTCAGTTCCCTCAAAAGCCCCAGGAAGTAGACCCCACCCAGTCTCTGTTCCGGGAAACCCGTGGCCTCCTCAGGTTCTAACAGAAGGTTCCTGCTCTCCTCTACGTTGGCTTCTGAGTGAGCACACAGGTATCCCTGTTACTATAACTGAGTGGGGGAGACCGGCCAGCAGTCCATCCCTACTGCAGCCAGGGGAGGTGAGCGCAGACCTCACGTCCTCCTGGTTGACCCCGATGTTTAAATTCAGTGTGGATGGAGGAAATGGAACCTCAGCATGATCAGGTCTCGTCTCCCCTTAAATGAAGCTGGTCTCTTCTCATTGGGTTGTCAGTTCCTGATGTACATTCTCCAACACAAGAACCCTAGGGGGGCAAGTGAGGGAGCTGCACCCTTGTAACTTCCAACAATACAGAAATTAGACAAATTGCATAAACATAAATGATTCTTGCCAATCTCATTCACTCATCTGGCCACTTGAAGCTTATTCTCTACACAAGTATTCTTATTATTTATACTTATTCTCCATGCTAAGTACTAAAGGACACATGTGCAGCACCCCGAGAAACTCACAATTCAGCAGTAATTAGAGAATCATGTTGTATGATTCTGAGCCATGAAATTAATGTCCAGATCGACCTGTTGTCAATATGCTAAGAAAGGGAGCTACTTCACAACATACAATTTAGCCAACTCATTTTTTCTTTTACAGTAAAATTCTAAATCCATCTTCTCTGACAGGCAGAATATAACATCACAGTCACAATGGTTAGTTGACTAACTTTCCCAAGTCTACTAAGTTTAGTGACATAAAAGACAATTAAAAGGAAAGTTTACATTAAAAAAAAACACACAAAAAACAGCCCTAACTGGTTTGGCTCAGTGGATAGAGCCTTGGACTGCGGATTGGAAGGTCTGGGTTCGATTCCGGTCAAGGCCACATGCTCGGGTTGCAGGCTCAATCCCCAGTAGGGGGCGTGCAGGAGGCAGCTGATCAATGATACTCTCTCTCGTCATTGATGTTTCTATCCCTCCCGCTCCTTTCCTCTCTGAACTCAATAAAAATGTATTTAAAAAAAACACTAAAAATCCTTACAGATCAGTTAAATACTTTATGGAATTAGTTCTAGTGTTAAGCATTGAGAAAAAAAAGTAAAATAAAATAAAAATTAAATTTTAAAAAAAGTGCCTCTCAATATTTAATGTTCATGACCCTCATCTTGGGAGCTCGTTGACACAGATTCAGATTCAGTGGGTCTGGACGGGAGGTTCTGCAAGAGATGCCTAAGCTCCTGGTGCACAGACCCCACGCCGAGTCGCAGGTTGGATGAGGTCATCTACTCCCACCCCCATTCCCGAAATCACACTTATCCCCAGAAGTTTCAGGTACAGTTGCCTAATGTCCATTTAAAGCAAGACACTGCAGCACACTCAGCCGGGCATACCTGTTGAAGGCGTGCAGTGGATAATTATTTGACTGTGCTCTTCATTTTCAGCACTGCTAGTGACCCCTGCGGCATCAGCGGGACCTGAGGACAAAACATCGGCTGTGTTGAATTCAAGCTTCATGCGATTCAAAAGAACCAGTTTCCTGTGATCCCGGTCTCTCGTACATGAGGTAAGTTCAGCTTGTTACGAGGCTTGATAACATATTAAAGATGCCAGGAACACAGTAAGTGCCATTTTTCTCAGATTTCCTACCGATCCTTCACAAACCGATTAGAATAACAGAGACTTTGATCAGTGCCATCAGGCGTGTTCTAGTTCACCAAGTACGTGCACTTGCCTTTATCCTTGGCCACACTGTGTTCTTGGAGGCTCTTATCTTCCGTGTTTGAATGGGTGTAAGAGTCGCAACCCCAAAATGCACAGCACTGATAAGCATAGGGTACCGATAATGACCTGGGAAATAATGGTAAAACCTACAATGAACAGCAACTTCACAGACATGTTTGTTTTGTAAAAAGTATTTTAGTCACTGAAAGCCTCAGCCCAGGAGTCAGAAAGACCTAGCTGTCAACTTGCTTTAAGCCGCTCAGTATCCTTTCCAGGCCTCAGTTTCCTCATCTGTGAAAAGAGCTCTGGGATCAGGTGACAGCATAAGCTTCTCTATTTATATAAGATATGCTTTTCAATCAAACCGTGTTTAAAATTTTACAGTAACATACTTTTATAAATGAATCAACCACACCCAATGTATCATATGAAACTGGTAGTTTCATTTAAAATTAATGTCTCAAGTCACCTGTGAATTTATACCATTAAATGAATTTACTTTGTTTATAAGTATAGTGAAAATAGTTATTCTCCTCTCCCAAAATAATATCCCCAAGCCCTCTCCCTATTATAGCTAGTGAAGTCCCCACTCTAATACTGTGTCTCCATAAAGTATTATATAGCATTGCATCTATTTTCTATAGGCTCCCACTTATGTGGTTTCTGTCCTCTTGTTGCTAATGTCAAATCCCCTATATAAAAAACCATTCCGATGAATACCTCTGTTATCTCTTTGACAGCATCAGGGACTCCAATTCATATTCTTAAAAACTATGGAATGATGCTCAAGTTCTATTCTACACCAAATCTGTGAGGACTGGGGTAGAAAATACTCTTAAATTACAGCCTCCAAGAAAATCTGGGAACCACAGCAAAAATACCCCCACTAAATTAAAAAAAAAAAAAAAAAAGCTAGCCCACTCTATCATTTAGGGGCCTACCCCACCATCAACAAAAAAGAAAAATAAGCAAAAACACACCTGAGATTAACAAAGTCTTTTGCTGCCAAAGCTTCTTTCAGCTGGAAGTTGCCCACAAGTTTCAGTTGATTCAGCCCATTCAGGCCTTCCGTAGGAAATGACGTTAATTCATTGAAACTGACATCTCTAAAATGTGAACAAGACTTCAAATTAACTCCCAAGATGCAAATCGCCCAAGATGCAAATCACACAGAAACATCTGTATGTGTTAACAACATAGACATTAGAGTTCCAGTAGGAAGGTGAGTTGTGTTAATCAGCGGTTCTCAACCTGTGGGTCGTGACCCCTTTGGCAGTCGAACGACCCTTTCACAGGAGTCGCCTAAGACCATCCTGCATATCAGATATTTACATTATGATTCATAACAGTAGCAACATTACAGTTATGAAGTAGCAACGAAAATAATTTTATGGTTGGGTCACAACATGAGGAACTGTATTTAAAGGGCCAGAAGGTTGAGAACCACAGTGTTAAAATGATGAATCTAAGCATGCATCTCGCCATATTAAAAGCTCGTACAATATCCATGCAGTTAGCCATTATTACAAGGAAACAACTAAACAGAAAAATATTCAGACAGATCAATGCACAAACACAAGTTTCTGTAGACTATTCGTGACTTTCCTGATATTATTGCATAAAGTCGTCAACTTACAGGTTAGTTATTGACCCAAGCTTGGCAAAAGCTCTGTCGTGAATTTCATGGATCAGGTTTCTACTCAGATCTCTGCAATTATAAGAATAATGTGTTAATATTTTCAAATAAACTCAAATTGCAGTCACTTTGACTACACTTTAGAATCTGAGGTAGTCACAATACCCCCAATAACAAAAACCTTTCATATTGTCCAACAACATTTTCATTTGGGTGCTGAATCCCTCTCCTTCACAAAAACCTATGTCTTGGAATGTGTTCCCATGGAGCAGTAATTCTACTTGGCATCTGTTTTAAAACAGTTGTGAATTTTCTCCCCCTTATCATTCTGGTGCCAGTTCAAAAATATAAATGATAATGATATAACCTTTGGTACCATTAACTAGGTGAGAAAAAGCTCAGCTCCTGACAAAGCTGAAAATAAAAGTAGGTTTCATATTATTTGCCTTCTCAAAGGTTAGTGATAAGGCTCCAGAGAGAAGACAAATAATCAATATGCAAACAAGAGCATTCCAGAAGGGCTTCAGATATCTTCCTCCTCACCCCCCGCCCACA